GTATTGCTATATAAGCCTGTTTAGAATCGATGTGAGTGCCAGGAAGTGGTGGCGCACGCCTTTAATCCCAGCACTCTGGAGGCAGAAGCAGGTAGATCTCTGTGAGATCGAGGCAGCCTGGGCTACAGAGTAAGTTCCAGGGGAAAAAAAAAAAAAGAATCGTTGTGAGCCCAGTACTAGGGCAAGAGTTAAGAGTGACCAATATCGTCTTCCTCCAGCCTGTCAGAATTCTCCACTTTGCTGTCTTTAGGTTTCCTGATCATCTCTGATAGAGTCTACTCTTATTCAGCAATTATCAATGCTCTCTCCACCCCAGAGAAGATTGCAGATTTCTACTCCCAAGTTGCTTGTTCATGGAGCGCTACCATGGCAACAAATAACTAGTGAAAATAGGATCTCCCTCTTAGCAAAACTAGTCTCAAATACTTGGCAGCAAACTATGGCCTAATAGGATTTACCAATGCTAACAACTTGTGTTTTCACAGTATTTAGTTTCATTTGTTTGTGCCACTTAAAACTTGGAGTTGAGAAAGGTTTCATGTTGAATTAATATTGCGTTCCATTTTAAAAATGTTAAGCACCCTACACACACACACACACACACACACACACACACACACACACACACACATACACACACCATGTACCAAGCCTTGCTCCCCAACTGTAACACTGAAGAGGGAAGTAAATAGTGTAGAACAATTACACCAAGAAATAAAACAAAGGTGAGCCATCTGAGCCAATGTTTAAGAACTATCAGGGTCAAATATCAAGATCATTAATCTTGGAAAGTTGAAGCCAAAAGCTCCCATATGGGCAGGGCATGTGGTGTCACCTTATCTAAAAGGAAGCAGATGGATCCCTCTGGGAAAGTCACTCACTTTCAGAGCTGGAGGTACTGAGCGTCCAGTTCTTTTACCGTGAAGAATACGCTGCCGATCAGATCTTCGGTTTCCTCGTCTATGAAAAGCAAGTGATACCGTCCTGTGCGGGGTTTTGGTAAGCAAGTGGGAGAGAGTAAACGTGTGTGAGATGCATGTGCAGGGGCAAGGTGAGAAAGAGCATGAAGTCCCTCACCCATCCAGGGGTAGTCAGGCCTGGTTGGGCCTACAGGTGGCCTGCACCAAGGTCAGAAAATGACGGCCTGCTTCATTTTTGGCTTCCTTTGCTCAGCCCACTACAAGAGCCTGTCTGCTGCAAGGGGGAGCTAAAGAGAAGCCATGGGAACTATGGGCAGGAGAAAGCTTTGCAGACACAAAAGGTCCGGCCTTTTGTTGGAATCTGGTCTTTTTGTTCACATCCTACCAACTCTTTCCAAGTTCTAACTCCATACAAGACCTGGGTACTGACAAAGAAGATCCTAAAATAAGGAAAGCTGAGCCCTCTAGGGGTGTAGGTGGAGAAGGGCCCTACCCACTGTTGACTTGACAGGACCAGATCTTTCAGCAAGCTGAGCAGTGAAACAGATAGCAGAGTGTGACACCTAAAATCTGCACCATGGAAGAACTCCCAGAGTGCAATGCACAGCTCTCAAATCGGTGTGGCTGTTTTATCATTCATTTACCTTTGCGAATATATATAATACTGAGGAATGTTCCAGATGTGAGCATAGTATTTTAAGCTGTTTGGAAGGAGTCTGGTGGGAAGATCCACCTCAACTCCCTGCCCTTATCTCTTTCCCTAAACCCGCCCCTTCAAAGCCCGCCAAACACAGCTCCTCCCCCCAGAGAGGTTGAAGACCACTCCCACAGGGTATATAAGCTGCATCCAAGAAAACAGACACGTGGTTCTTCCAGTCTCTTGTCCCAGTCTCCTCTCTGAGAGGCCAGGGAATCACCCAGGAATGCTTTACCCATTAAATCTGGGTTTTTCCTGATTCAGTCTGATTTGGATTGCTGCGTCAGCGAAGAGGCCTATCAGGGTGCAAAAAAAGACCTATCATAAGCCATTACCCGTTGTCACCTAAAACTAATGTGCCAGCGTTTGGTGTCTCTTTCTGACAGTGTCAACAGGAAAGTGAATATGGAGGGGTCCAGTTGGTGGGAGGCAGAGTTGGTCTTCTTTCTCCTTAGTGGGACACGCTACCCGTGAGCTCCTTGCTGGAGCGCCCCCTGGCCTCCAAGAGAGTTCATTCTTTGTTCTCTGGCAGACTGGGTGGAACAGGGTCCTAGGAAATCCCGTGGATTGATTGACAAGCTAGTTCTGGGACGCTCCAGGGTCAGCCTGGGAACAGCGAGAGTAAACAGCATCAAGGCAGAATTTCCTAGAACTCGGTCTTTCCCTCAATGCTGCAGTCTTTTACGTAAGCCTACTGATTTCCAAGTTCTCCATTTCTTCCTTCATCACACAAAGATTTGAGTTGTCCGGGCAGGAGTGTGTGTGGATGGCCACCCTTACTGTGTTTCCAGGTAGGTTCTCAGGCAGTCAGACCAAGGAAAGGGAAAGAAAGTAGGCTCAAAGGCATTGGTTGACAGCTAATCTGACCACCAGGCGGCGCTCAAGTCCACACTTTCGTTTATTCAGCGGCCAACACGTGGGTTTTGGTTCTTGTTAATGCCCTGTGCCGTGAGGGTACTGTTTAACAAATAAGGCTGGTGATGTGGCTCAGTCAGTAAGCCTGATGGTGATCCCCAGAATCCACATAAAAGCTGGCTGGGGTACACACCTGTAACCCCAACACTCCTGTGACAAGACAGAAACAGTCAGGAGGATAGCCCTGAAGCTTACCAGCCAGCTAGCCTAGGGTATACTGCTTGGCAGAAACAAGAAAGACCCCGCCAGAACGAGGTGGAAAGCGAGAGCCCAGCCTGGAGAGTTGTCTTCTGACCCCCACACCCATGAGCAAGTAGTGGCACACACCTGGACAAGGGGGAAGTGCACTAATAATAAATCCAAAATTTTATATAAAATAAAGTTCCTTTTTCCCCGTGGAATTTAAGCTGGAGTTGTTAGAGGTGCCAGAGAGAACAGACAATAGAAAATTAAGGAAGAATTAATAAGCACTGGTAACATTCTGTGTTTCAAGCAATGAGATGGGGAATGTTTATGATAGTGACTTGTTTCACATCTTAACAAGCTGATTTTTTTGTTCCTGACACTCAAAACCAATTCTACCACCATTCCTAACCTTTGGGGGTCTCTGAGGAGGCCACTGGTGCTATGAGAGGTCACTGGGAAACACAGAAATGGGCTCCATTCCCTGATGTGTTTATACTGGCCTACAGAAAAGAGGGCGTCTTTTATCCCATATGAGTGATGTCTTAACCAAGAAGAGAAATCTGAACACAGATACAGGCAGACAAAAGGAAACACCATGTGGACATGAAGATGGCCATCCATCGACTAATGAGAGGGGCCTGGGACTGAGCCTGGCCTCACAGCTTCAGGAGGAATCCCTCATGCCAACACTGCTGGGTGTGGCTAAACTTCAGAGCTGTGAGACAATACGCCTGTGCTTTAAGTCTCTTAGCCCGTGTCTTTTCAGTATAGCACACTTAAAGCAGGATATGAGGACTAGAAGAGCAACCAAAGACAGTGGAAAATGTAATATAAAATCAGAATTTGCAACCATGGCCACCCTACATTTGTAAGCCTTTGAGGAGTTTGGGTTTAGTTTTTATTTAGCTTTAGTTTTAGTTTGAAGCTTTTCAGTGTTATTGAAGTATAACTGATAAATTGATATATTGTGTATATGCAGGATACATACATGGTATTTTAATAGAGATATACATTGTGGACTACCACAATCAAGCTAATTAGCATATATATAGTTATACATAGTTGCTCTGTGTGTGTGTGTGTGTATGGTGTGTGTGTGTGTGTGTGTGTGTGTGTGTGTGTGTGTGTGTGTGTGTTGAGACACTTCAGATCTGTTCTCTTTCCTTGAGTGTGTCAGTTGGGCTAAAATAAACTGACTGCAAATATGTGGGTTTATTTATAGGATGTCCAGTCTGTTCTACTCACATATGCATCGATTTTCAAGTCAGGATCATGTCTGCTTGATCACTAAATCACTGCAGTGTATTTTGAAGTCAGGTACTACAATGCTTTTGACTTTGCTATTTTTGCTCAAAATTGCTTTAGCTAGTCAGGGTCACATAAGTTGGTTAGAGTTTGATAAGTATTGTATTGAATCTTCACATCACTATATATACTATGAAAACTTTTTTCTTTTTTTATTATTAAGAAATTTTGCCGGGCGGTGGTGGCACACGCCTTTAGTCCCAGCACTCGGGAGGCAGAGCCAGGCGGATCTCTTGTGAGTTCGAGGCCAGCCTGGTCTACCAAGTGAGTTCCAGGAAAGGCAAAAAACTGCACAGAGAAACCCTGTCTCGAAAAACCAAAAAAAAAAAAAAAAAAGAAATTTTCTATTTATTTTACATACCAACCACAGATTCCCCCCCTCCTCCTCCCGCCCCCAGCCTTCCCCCCAACCCATCTCCCATTCTTTAACAATAATTTTTGGATTCATGAACCCAGGATATATTTTTATTTATCTGTATCTTCTTCCATTTACTCCATCAATATTTTACTGTGTATGTATATGGGTCTACTACCTCTGTAGTTAAATTGATTTTCAAGCATTTTACTTTATTCTTAAGCTACTATGAATGGTGTTATATTCTTTTTTTTCCTCCTTTTATTCCCTTTGCTTTATTTATACAATTTTGTTAATAGTACATATAAATACCACTGATTTTTGTAGTTTAAGTTTGTACTCTGTAGATTCCTGAAATTATTAGTTCTAGAACCATGGTGGGTGAGTCTCCATAATTTTCTATTGAAACCCCGCCATCGCCAGTGTTCATTTACCTGGCCTCTTCTTTGGGGGCCTCTGTGTTTCCCTGCCTGGTTTTGGCTAGGACTTCATTACTCTATTGAACAGAGACATGAAAGCATTCATGGAGTCTTTTCTTCATTACTTTATTGAATAGAGACACGAAAGCATCCATGGAGTCTTTTCTTCATTACTCTAGTGTGTGTTATTCTCTGCAATGCCCTTAAGTTACAAAAACCATGAACCATAATTTTATTGTGAATACAGTAAAATTCATAGCACCATGATGCTTTATTGATAGTAGTTGTCTACATCATCTTTCAAATTATGTGTAAATTCTCTCAGTTCATAAATTAATTTCTGCATGAATCAAATGATAGTGTCATACTTTAAAATTTCTGCCTATAAGATTGTCTCTGAAAAATGTTTATATTTCATTTCGTGGTAAAGGGCACAGCCATATCTGATGGGAACCGCAGAGGTCATAAAGCAAGCACGGCTGCTTGACAAAGATCCAGCAGAGCTGAGCCGCATGATGGGTGCCATGCCACCTTTGGTTTTCATCTGCACCTGTTGCACACTTGGGGGACTTTTAATATTTGTACAGTTTCTCTGCATACATGCACGCTGAGTTCAGACTGCCGTCAACCTGCACTGGAGAGAAAGTGGAGCTGAGATTTAGGGCTATTCCAGGATCCTCTGAGGAACAGAGGTTGGGAAGCCTCCCTGAAGAGTAAGCGGGCATATCATCGGCTCGGCCATAGTTTGGCAGAATTGCTGTCAGACCACAGCTTAGGGGGAGAGAATCGGGTCCTTTGAGTGTGCTCTACAACTGAAGTTGGTAAATGTGCCCCCAGAGTTGCATCCAGACAGGTCTTAGCTTTGTTGTATGCGGGGAGGATTGCTATTAGAGTAGAGACAAGCTTTGGGGCCAGTTCAGGAGCTACGGAGGAGCTAAGCTTAACAAACCTGCCCTGAGAACTAGCATGGACACACTTCCCTCTGCATCTGTATGCAATAATGACTTATCTCAAACAATAGCTGGCATGTGCTGGGGCTGAGTTAGGGTGTCTCTTCAGGATCTGCGATTCAGACCAAATGGGGCACACCTGCCTAATGCACTAATGCGTGTGACTCACTTCTGGTCTCTTGTCAAAGCTTTTGATATTAGGGCCAAAGCCGCAGAAGCATTCAGCCAAGGCCACAGGAGGATGGTGCAATTTCCAGGTCTAGAACCTGAGCCACGGCTTAACACTGGGTCAAAGTGTGTTCGCTGAAACCACCCTTCTAGAACATAGAGCTTCGGGGAGTCACAAACCTCAAGACTTCCACAGAAGAGCTTTTGTCTCCAGATTACCCCTGGGGACATGAAAGAGGGCTACCCAATGAACCACCCGGCTGAGGCCTAGCCTTCTGTCCATGCTCGTTGTCTCCTTGTGTTGTTTTCTGCTTTCTGCTTTTATAACTCTCTCCTCATTTTTAAACTATTCATTTTATGTCTTGTCCCTCCTGCTCTCTTCTTCCCTCTCCCTAGCTCCCTTACTCCTCCCTACCTTTTATCCCTTCTCCTCCCCCTTCCTCTCTCCATGTGTGTTTTGGGGGTGCACTTGGAAGCCAGAAGAGGGCATCAGATCCTCAGGAGCTGGAGTTACAGGCAATGAGAGGCACTTGACAACCTAGGAACCAAATCTGGTCTCTGCAAAGGCAGTGCACTGGGCCATCTCTCCAGCCGTCATCTCTAATTTTATTAAAAATAAATGTGATTATATGCCTAGGTGGTTTTCTTTTTACATTTCTCCTGTTTATACTTCTTTCTGATATTCTATGAGCCCAAAAATATTCATTTTTCACCAAAATCTGAGATCGTTTGGGCCATTATTTCTTTTTTATTTGCTTCCTTCTGGCCCTTAACTAATGCTTCCAAGGTCCACCGATGTTTCACTCACAGTTTCAAAGTTCTATTATTATTCTGAGTGGCCATCTCTTCTGAACTCATTTCGGGTTCACTGACTTGCTTTGATCATCTTGAATCTGCCAGAAAGTTCAATCAATTAATTTAAAGTAACAAGAGTTTTTTCAGTTAATGATTCCCAATTAAAAATTCTATTTCTCTGCTAAAAGTTCTTTTTGTTTCTCTTTAGCATTCTTTTTCTTCCAGTCCTTAAGAAGCCCTACAGCATTTATTAAAATGATTATCTACTACTCCCAATCTGGGTCATCAGTTTTACCCACTGATGCCCTGTTTTTCTTGAGACTGGGTCGCGTTTTTTAAGCTATTTTTTTTTTAATTTATGTCATTTCCACCCTTCCTTCTCCCCCACTAACTCCTCCATGCCCCCCTCAAATCCATGACCTCTCCTTTAATTACTGTTACATACACAGGCAGATGTACGTATACAGGCTCATTTTGTGGCGCCTGTGTGTGTTTAGGAATGATCATTTGAACTGAGTAACCTGTCAGGGGCTCCTCTCTGATTCTCCCTCTCTCCGCAGACCTTCATTCTCTACAGCTCTTTATCTAGGGATAGGACCTTGTAGGATTTCTCCCACCAACATTGGCATGTCAACAGATGTCATCATTATCCAGGTCTTGTTGAAGCAACCTTTGTGATTTCCTGGGTGTGGTGAGCCTGCCATATATGAAAGACCCCATCTCACAGGCGACATTCTGGTCCTCTGACTCTTCCAGTCTTTCTATCCCATCTCCAGCAGTCTCCCCTGAGCCTTGGGTGTGAGTGCTGTGCTGCAGATAGGTCGACTGGGGTTGGACACCCCAGTGCCTTGTTCTCTGCATTTTGACTGGGTGTGGATTTCTGTAATGGTCCCCATTTGCTTCACAAAGAAGCTTCTTTGAGGAAGGGTAAGAACTACTTATCTTTGGGAATAAAGATAAGCACTTCCAATGCAATTAGGAGTTAAACTGGTTTAGGAAATTGACCGAAGAGGGTTCTCCTCTCAGGCCTATGACCTTATCACCCACAGGCAGTTTGTTAGGTTCACAGTACTAGGCATGAATTCACGCCTACTGAGTAGGCTCAGTAGTAGAGTGCTAGCCCAGCATATGCAAGACCTTGGGTTCAGTCTCTAGCATTGCAGAGAGAGAGAGAGATTGTGTAACCTAATAAACTTGCCTGGGGATCAGAAGACAGAGCCAGCCACTAGATTAGACATAGAGGCCAGACAAGTGGTGGCACACACCCTTAATCCTGTCACTCGGGAGGCAGAGATCCATCTGGATCTCTGTGAATTCAAGGCTACACTGGAAACAGAGCCAGACAGTGGTAGCACACACCTTTAATGCCAGTACTGGGAAGCATGTGCCTTTAATGCCAGGAAGTGATGTCTGGGTGGAGAAAGGTATATAAGGCATGAAGAAACAGGAACTAAAGCAGTTCAGCTGAAACCCTTTTGAGTGAGGACTCAGAGGCTTTCAGTCAGAGGATTCGTGGAGTTGATGAGGTAATGGGTGTTTGCTGTGGCTTGCTCTGCTTCCCTGATCTTTCAGCTTTTACCCCAATATCTGGCTGTGGGTTTTTTTTTTTATTATAAGACATTCTTAGATTTGAACAACAGAGAGAGAGAGAGAGAGAGAGAGAGAGAGAGAGAGAGAGGGAGGGAGGGAAAAGGGAGGGAGGGAGGGAAGAAGAAGAAGAAGAAGAAGAAGAAGAAGAAGAAGAAGAAGAAGAAGAAGAAGAAGAAGAAGAAGAAGAAGAAGAAGAAGAAGAAGTGTTAAAAGTCACACAGAGCCATCAAAATAACTCAGTGGGTAAGGTTGCTTGTCATGCAAGCTTGATTACCTGAGTTTGATTACCTGAGCTTGTTTGATTCCGTATAAAAAGTCAAGATCTGGTGCCACACATCCATAATTCCAACACTGTTAAGGCAAGATGGAAGACAAAGACAAGAGAATTTCCTGGAAGCTTGAAGGCCAGTTATTCTAAAGTATACAGACTAGCAGAAAAACAAGAGATTCTGACTCAACACAATAGGAGAGAACTGACTCCTGATGTCTTCTGGCATGCACACACCCTCATTCACACATTTCATACACACACACACACACACAGAGAGAGAGAGAGAGAGAGAGAGAGAGAGAGAGAGAGAGAGAGAGAGAGAGAGAGAATGAATTTTAAATTTAAATAATGAAAATTTAAAGTTTATAGGTCTCTAATACCAAAGGTATTAATGTGAAAAAAATCCTTGTTGAATTTTATGTCAACTCTGAGTGTGTTGCATGAGCACACCAAAATTTAAAAAAATCTGATCATTTCTTCTGTCTTCTTATTCTTATCTTAATAATTAAGAATCACAGCACTCTTAACACATGCCAGGCACTCTTCTAGGTAATGTGTATATAATTTTTAATTATCACAACAATCATATGGAATCAATTCTGCTGTTCTCATCTTCAGAAGAGGAAATAGAAACAGTTGTATAGTAAGTACAGAGGATCCATACAGAACTCTGACCTCAGCCATGTGCATCTAGTCTGAAGTTTCTTTGTAAAATGAGAGCTTCCATTTGAAAAGTGCTTCCTGTGTCCTGGGTGTTGGGAAGTGTCTTTCAAACCTTATTCCACATGAGATCTGAGGTGAATGAGGAAGTCACTGATGCCTTCTTATGGACACCACAAAGACCAAACTACAGGGAAATTTTATATCATTCCAGAGACAGTTTTTTCCAGATCTGGTGAATAAGATTGACCAGGCAATGGAAAGGCAATGAAAGTTTTTTCCATCCAACCAATACCCAGCTCCTTCCCTAGGTGAAATACCTTCCCTAGGTGAAAAAACTGAAATTGTAAATGGAGGCGCCTCAGACATAGTCGAAGCAGAAAATTATTGAGAGAATTCAACAAGAAAACTTAGCTTAGATAAAATAACATTCACGTCTTGTCCTGCCTTGTATAATGTCCTCTGTGACTGTAGGAGTGTTCTAGAATGGCTTCAACTTCTATGTCTTTGTGTACAGATCATGAACTGTTGTGTATATCATTGTAGAATACAAAGCCTGAGGTTTTTGTTTATTGTTTTTTTGCCTGTCTGACACAGGGCAGGAAACTATCTGGAGAGCATATTCCAAGTCATGACTGTATCTAAGAAATGCTCAGGATGTGTCTGTGATGATAAATCAATGGTTCTTTATAGGGTTATGGGAGTTGTTCTGTATAAAGGTCCAGGATGGAGATTCTACTAATACAATGTCATCTAGAAAGAAAGACAGATAGTGTCTCTGTCACTTTATGCTGTCATGCCTTTGTGCAGCTTCCAGCAGAGCTGAATCATAAGAGAGTGCAGATCAGTTAATATTCCCTTATATGCCCAAGTCCAGAAGTGATTGTGTTCACTATAGAACTCACTGTCTAGCACTTTAGTTCAGTAGCATTAGGCTAACTGCAGTCAGGGCTGAGGTAGAAGAGGAATATACACAAAATCTTCAGAATTGTGCTTTCTCTACTTCGGACCCACTTGTCATGGAGGCAGAGGGACAGAAACCTTCACAGTGCCACTAGCCTGCTAACTAGTGAAAGTTAGACTCATATTCAGACTGCCTGCCCCAAGGACCTGTCCTCTAGGCCATGTATTAGTGTGGTCACTCAGTAGACACCTGCTGGGTTCAGAATGCAGCATCTCTTGGGTTCTACTGACGCCCTTTCCACTTCACTCAGTGACTTTTGTACTTTTGCACTTTGGGTATTTAATGTGTAGCTTGCTGTGGGGCAGTTGCCTCACTCTGGCTTCTTATTTACCCTTCTCCTCCAATGTAAAGCCTACCTTGTGCTAAAAAAAATTCATCATAAATTAATCATCAAGGAAGCATATGGCCTGTCAGGCTTGCCCTCTGCTCTGTCTTCTTCAGTGGTAACTTTAAGCCAAGGCATTTTTATTCCAGATTCTACAGAGATTAGGAAGGTAAGAGTGCTGAGAAAGCCAGGCCAGAACCCTGGAGGTCCTCCAATCTCCAACACTGACCCCCAAACTGGAGTAATAAAAACGGACTACTCCAGGCACCATGTGGGATCACCTTCATTAAACAATCAATGCAACGGCAATATCCAGCCTGTATCTAAATTTCCAGGTCAGGTTCTCTACAGACATAGTTACATAATCCTTTCAACAATCTCACAGAACTAACCTTACAGTAACCTCCCCAACAGCATTAATTGATGAGCTGCCGCAATTCAAGGACGTAATGGCTTGCCCAGAGTTTCTTCTCACAAGTGGCAGACCCAGGACTTAAGTCCAAAACTTTGGAACTCCAAAGACCCTGCCTTCTGCCCATACATAAAATTGTTTCTCTTAATTAGAATCCCAAAGGAAACAGCCAACAGAGTCTACCCTGTGTGTTATGAGCCTCTCAAGAATTATCTCGTTAACACTGGCCTTCAAACAAATCCTTAGAATTTATCATTTTCATAAGTGAGGAATGGAGCAAGAGGATCATCCAGGAAGAGACGGGTGTTGCAAGCAGAGCTGAGGAGCACACCGATGTGATTGCTATGGCTCTGGACAATGGATCTTAGCTGTGAAGCTGTGTGGCCCTCCAGCTGTCGTATAGATAAAAAAGAAGGGTGCAGACTGAGAAAGGGGAGCAGGTTAGCTGCAGAGAACTTAGGAAGACTCCACCTTCCCTATACTGTTCCCACCTTGAGCAGCCCATAAACACTGGGAAGTGTCTACACAATCCTTTTCCTTAGCTGACCGCCCCTTCTAGAAGGCTGCACTGCTTTCTGCCCTCACCGAGCGTCTCCTCCCCTCACAGCATCATCCAATTCCTGAAGTTGTCTGCTAAACATTCTCCTCAGCCAGGGGCCAAGTTCAACAACTGTGTTCCAAGTCCTGGGAAGGACTACACACAACGAGCAGACTCTACAAGCACCTTTCCTAAGTAGATCCGGCCCACTTGTGTCCTCCACAGTACCAGGTAAGACAAAAAGACAAAGCCTCTCTCTGTCTCTCTGCCTCTCTCTGTCTCTCTGCCTCTCTCTGTCTCTGTCTCTGTCTCTGTCTCTCTCTCTCTCAAGTCTCTCCCTCCTCTTCTCCCTCCCCCTCTCCTCCTTCCTCTCCTTCTCTCCCTCTCCCCCCTCTGTCTGTGTGTATGTGTGTGCATGTACACACATGTGCACACACCTGCCTGCCTGTCTGTGTGTCTGTGTGCACTTACATATTCCACAAAAGCCTTAAACTTGAGAATCCAATTTTTAGTTCTGAGAATACCACCAAACAATTATGTGGCCTTGGTCAAGTCACTTAATTTCTCTGACATTTCCTTTCTTTAAGTACAATGTAAAGATGGGTGTGTTGGTGACAGGAAGACCTGGAAACATATATGAGCTGTGTTTAGCACAGTGGCTGGCTCATAGGAGGGAACTGATGTGTCTGGGAATGAGTAGACAAGAGACAGGAGGAGTCACTGAAGGAAAACTTCACTGTGCGGGGGCTGGTTCTCTTTCTTTCAAGTGAATAACTTTAATCTGGTAAAGCACTTGCTGAACAAGCCTGAGGACCTGAATTGGATCTCCAGTACCAACATAAAAGTCCAGGTAAGGTGCCCTATGGCATGTGCCTTATGCTGTCAACTGGACGTGAGCTAGACCATCTGGGAAGGAGGAAGGAACATCCACTGAGAAAATGCCTCCATCAGCCTGATCAGTAAGCAAGTCTGTGGGAGCAGTTTCATAGTTAATGATTGATGTAGGAGGACCCAACTCACTGTGGGTAGTGCCACCCCTGGGCATCTTGCCTGGTACTAAAAACAAGCTGAGAAAGCCATGAAGAACAAGCCAGCAGGCAACATTCTCCATGTTTCCCACTTCTGTTGTGTCCCTGCCCTGGCTTCCCTCAATGACTGAGCATGATCAGGACATCCAAGCTAAATAAACTCTTTCCTCTTCAAGCTACTTTGGGTCATGGTGTTTATCACAGCAATAGAAAGCAAACTGTCAACCCGATAATCCCAGTGCTGAGAACCAGAGACAAAAGGACCCCTGGAGTTGCCAACCAACCAGTCTAGCTAAATCAGGTTCAGTAAGAGACCTTGTCTCAAAACCTAAAGTGGAGAGGTATCAAGGAAAGCACTTGACATCACCCTCAGACCTCCACATGTGTGTACATGTAAACATGCACATGCACACACACACACACAGAGAGAGAGAGAGAGAGAGAGAGAGAGAGAGAGAGAGAGAGAGAG